CCAACTGCAGGAAGTGTCACTGGTCAGAGCATGTGGGATTTTTTGTCACTTTGTTGAATTTGATTTCTTAACATTTGCTGAGTTTTTTTGTTTTGTTTTATTTTTTATTTTTTCTTTTTCATCTAAGTTTATAAGTTCTTTTCTTGCAATGTTTTGGTGAGCAAGGCAGTGCCAGTCTCATAGAATGAGCTGGCAGATTATCCCTCTGGCTCTGTCTTCTGGAGAATATTGCATAGAACTGATGTAAATTCTTCTTGTATCTTTAGTAGAACTTAGGAGAGAACCTGAGGTTCTCTGGGGTGGGCACTTCTTTCCCTGAGAGGTGGTTACTGATTCAACTTCTTGAATAGATATAAACCTACTGAGATTTTTATTTGTTCTTGAGAGCAAATAAGAAACTTGTCAGCAACTGAGACTATAGCTCATTAATAGAGAATTTTACTAGCATGCTGGAAGCCCTAGGTTCGATTCCCAGTGCAATAACTAAATAAATAAATGCATTAAAAAAAACTTGTCTATTTCATCTAGGCTATCAAATCTGTAGTCATAGAGTTATAGCATTACCTTACTCTCTTAATGTACCTGGATTTGTATGGATATTACAACTTTCATTAAAAATTTTATTAACTATTTCATTTAATATTCATACATGAAAATACTGTATTTGGAACAAATGCACCCTATTCCTTTTCCTCTGATTTTGCCTCATCCTCTCTCTTTTTTTTCTCCCAACTCACTCTCTCTCTCTGGTTAACATCTCCTGAGCCTCCTTAATACTGCTCGTATGTACATGGTGTGGGACCATCTGCTGGAGCGTGGGTGACCTCTCAGGGCCTGTGACTGAGCATAAGAGACTCTCCCTCTCCCAGTGTTCATCCACAACCAACAGCTCCTCAGACAGGGATGGGGCTTCATGAGCTATGGCCCTGAGTTTTGCTAAGATTCTGGCTGCCTTGATCTTGCACATGTTTGTAATCCCAGCACTCTGGAGGTGGAGGCAGTAGGGTTCATCCTTGGCTACAGAGTCATCTTAAGGCTATCCTGGACACCAGGAAATAAGACCCTATCTGGGAGAAAAAAAAATTTTCATATATGATCAGTGGCTTTTTTTTTAATTACTAGCATCTCTTTTTGGTTCATAGAATTCCCATCTTTTTCTCTTTATCATGCATCTGTTCTTATGTGTTGTCTTGCTCTTCTCATTAGTATACTAAGGATACTTGTTTGAAGTCCCTAACTGGTAATCCTATCAATGGTATCGCATCAGCGGTGAATCTGAAACCCATCTGGTACAGGCACTGTCCCTTCAATCTGGGTCCTCTGCCTTTTCATATGCCTTTACAATGTTCTCTTGTTGCTGAATGTCAAGAATTCTATACTGGGATAAAGAACTGAGGTCAGGTGGCTCTGGTGATGTGCTGGAAAGGTAGGAAGGGGAAGGAGCATTTGGCAGTCCTGACATCAGGTATCAGTCTTTCCATCTACTGTCCACGGCGCTCAGCAGTGAACATCACCAGTGCTCCTGAGCGCCCGCCTCAGTCTTAGAAGAATGAGCTAACTGGAAGGGGCTAATGTTGGGTATTTCTCTGCTCCCGTGGTTGGTAGGGTTCAGTTACACCCCAATGAATCTGAGCTCGGAGGAAGTTTTTCTTGAAGGGTGGCCTTTTTAGGAAGGCCTGATGGGCTTCAAAATGATTTAATTTCCTGTCCTATGCCAGAAGTGGGAGGAGATTTTTATCCAATACTTGCTGTGAAAAGCTGGATGAGGCTGTGGAATCCCTAAAACTGTCCCCCTTGGGAGTTTTCATTCTCAAAATTGTGCCAAAGATCTGCCAGTAGTTTGTTGGTTAAGGGTTGTCCTACCTGGTACCAGTGTCTGTGGAGGGTTCTACACAGCTACCAGTTAGGTTTGGGAGGGGGAAGCAATAGAAGTAATTGTGGTTCTGAACTGGGGATGGAAGTAGGAAGGCAGTGGCTACACAAGCGTTCCAGGTATCTTCCCCTGGCATTCAGACCCTGTGTAATTCCTTCCCCAGGGGTGTGGACAGCGTTGAACAAAGAGAAAGGTGGCAAGGCAATGGGATTAGCCACATCTGAGATTAGGATGAAAAAGCCTGTAGAGTTTTTATGTTGCTTGGAGGGTGTGTCTGGTTTGCCTTGTGACTCCATCTTGACAGGAAGGGGAAGACCCCTGGCAAGGTCTTTAGGGAGCTCTCTGGTCAGCAGCCAGTCAAGAACAGTGATCCTCAGTCCAATGACTCAAAAAAACCGAAAACAAAAAGCTGGATCCTCCCCATCCACCATACAAATGATGCTTCCTCAGCTGAATCTTCTGATTGAACTGCATACCTTGGCCAACCGACCTCCTTCCCCACTTGCAGAAACTGTGAAATCAGATATGCATTGTAGCCAGTACTCAGAGGCTGAGGTGGGGGTGGGGAATCTCTGTAAATCTGAGGATAGCCTGGCCTACATGGCAAGTTCCAGGCCAACTGGAGTAACATTGTAAGACCCTGTCTCAAAAACAAGCAAGCAAGCAAACACTCAGAGGTGCATTGTTATACCTCACTATATTTTGGAGCTGCTTCTGATGAGGCTACAGATAACTCATCTAGAAAGTGGGGGGAAGAGAATGGGTCTAATTTCTGGAAGGAGCTACTGGTAGCTAGAGACGTCAATATTCCAGAGGGAGAAATATATTTGGGAGGTTGAGAGAGGAACCAACAAGCATTTGCTCTGCCATCAGGAACTGTAATCCTCTGAAACTGTAAGTCCAATTAAATGTTTTCTCTTATAAGTTTGCCTTGGAGAGGCCTGGAGAACACATTAAAAAAAAAAAAAAAGGAGAGGGCTTTCACCTTCCTGTAAGAGTGTTTGTATACTCTTTTAATCTTAGCATTGGGAATGGAGACAGGCAGGCCCCTGAGGCTTGCTGCCTAGCCAGCCTAGCCTGGGTAGTGAGGCCTAGGAGAGAGATTCTGCCTCCCCAAATAGAAGTGGAGGGTTCCTAAGGAACCATATCCCAAGTGTCTTCTGGAATCCACAGGCACACACACATGTGTACCTATACATACATGTGTAATTGCAAACACATGCACATATACATAACCATCAGAACATGACTACCAGGCCACATTCTAGGTTTGATTGAGTATCTCTGTATCTCTGTTGCAGGCTTGTCCTTTGTGTTGAAGCCCAAACCCTGGCAACAGTGGATATTACTTTGACCCAATTGGCCTTACTATATCTTTGCTGCATGTACTCTTCTTAAGGAAATAGGAAGGCACCAAGGCAGACTCGGGGGAGTTTTTTCACTGGGCCATATTACAAAATAACGGCATCTCTGAATCTAAAAGCCCAAATGCCAGATCTCGGCCTGAGAATCTATGTTGGCCCTTGGTTCAGGTCAATAGTTTACTCTGCCAACTGTCCTGATCACCATCGCCGGGTCAGCAACTTGCCAGAAGAACCTGCTAATTACTGTGACCACCCGAAGCATCCTTTCCACAAGTCTAGACACTTCACAGTGGGATTTCTGTCACCTTGGCTCCTGGGGAACCTTACGGAGGACGGAGGACGGCTACAATGAGTTATTTCCTTTCTTTCCATGTTTGCCACTTATGTTTCCAGCTGCTTTCTCTTAGCTGCTTGCTTATTAAGAGTGTCCCGTTTATTAGAGAGCCTTACCGCTAGAACTTTAACTACAATGAGTCTCCAAAGAATTATAATCAGATGCTAATGAATGATTTATAATGTAATAAAATTTTAGATGAGTTATAAGACAACACCCCGTCTTCTAGAAGTCCAGAAACAATATGATCCCTCGTGTTTTTTTTGTTTTGTTTTGTTTTGTTTTGTTTTGGTTGTTGTTGTTGTACAGATGTGCCACAGGGAGAATTAATAGAATGCCTCCTGTCCGTTCATGCGGAGTAGAAAGAAATGTCCTAGTGTTTTAGATCCTGACTGGGATGCCGCAGGAAAATAGCTGGGCAATTCTGACCTGGATCTGGTGAGTGCCAATGATAACGTCTCTGAAGAGTCCATTCTTACAGTGGACTGTGAGGCTACTACTCTACCTCAACTCTATGCCAGAAAGAAAACAAAATGTGCACGGGTGTATGTCTGTATGATGAATTGTTTTGCTGTATTCGCTACCACATTTTCCAACACTGTGCAGTTCCTTTTGAGCCCCACACTGTGCAGTTCCTTTTGAAAGGATTATTTAACTTAATATTCACGGAAGCCTGTGCCTTAGCATTACCATTTTGCAAGCCTGGAAAAGTTCTGTGCTTATCTTAGGTTCATCAAGCCAGTGACTGTCAGATTTCCAATTTAAACTTGCAATCCATTCTTCAATTGAGATGGAGTACATGGATCTAAAGAGACCGCATCCAGCAGCCAAAAGTTTTGCCCTGGGTCAAGAGGAACTGGGTTGGTGTCCAAGCCTTCGGGAGAGATGGATGAAACCAATAACAGGAACAAGCGTGGAATAAACAGATTCATGACGGAATTGGCTAGAGTGGTGGATGGAATGGGTGAGTGGCTGCAATGAGAGAGTCGGTGTGACAGCGAGTGAGTGGGTGGGAGTGTGAGTCCTCAGTGAGCGGAGGCATGCTTGAATGGGGGAGAGACAGTCTGAGGATGACTGGGTGAATTGGAGGGTGAATCTGAACGTGTGGGTGTGTATGACAACTCCAGAGGATGAATGAAGGTGTGGTGAGCCTGAGCTACCTGAGCTCTGTGCGCCTGGGTGCCGTGGTGGGCTGCAGGGCCGCTACTCCACACAGTACGGTAGGGAGGGCTGCTCCACCCGAGTCGGCTCGCGCCTCCTCCCAGCCCTCCCCTTGCTTCTCTTCTCCTCCCCCTCCTCCTCTTCCCAGTCCTTCGCCACCGCCGCCAGCTTCGACCCCAGTCCCGGGGCGAGCCGGCCTGGACGCTGCGCCGCCGCGGGCCGCGATGCGCAGAGGATCCGCGCCGCCCCGGGGCCCTCGCGCCGCACCATGAAGCTCCGCAGCAAGGCAGCCGCGCTGCTCCTGCTCGCGCTGGCCGTGCTGCTGCTGGCGCTGCTGTCCTTGCGCGCCCGCCGCGACCCGGAGCCCCCCGGGTTCCCCGAGCGCCCCGAGGCTGCCCCTCAGCGCCGCCCCGCGCCGGTCCCCACGCGCCCTCCGGAGCCCCGCGCCTTCCCCGGGGCGGCTGGCCGGCGCTCCCCCGGGCGCCGGGCCCCTCGTCCGCGCCCCCGAGCCGGCCGCCAGCGCGCCGCCAGCCGCGAGAAGTTGGCGAGGTGAGTCGTGGCAGCCTAGATCCCTCCCATCTGGGGACCTGCGGCTCGCTCCTCGTACCGGTGCCAAGTTCAAGGGCGGCTTGGGGCTGGATGGATGGAGGGGCAGATTACAAGTTTCACTCACTCTGTTACGTCTTCCCACGCCGGGAGACACTCAGACCACCCTGGTGACTCCCATGCACCCCCTCGAAGGAGCGTCAGGGGAAGTGGATTGTAGGTTACGGGTCGCCAAGTGTCAGGGCGAGACCTCTGGTTGCGTTCTTGCGAACATGTGCTCTTTGTTTAATTTTTCAAAAGCCATCGCCAGGCAACTGGAGCTCTTTCTCTTGTTTCACGGGAGAATTCAGAGCGAAAACCTAGATCTTAGTGGAGTCGAAGAAGTTAGATGTTGAGCCAGGGACTGGCTTGCGTTCGGTACATGCTCGGGCACCCGCGTGCTGCCCGCAGAGCGGGCATCTGGCTCAAGTTGATTGGGAAGAAGTTTGCTTCTTGGAAGGAGTGGTGCGTGGAACGGGAGAGGCAGACTGGGGGTTTCCTGGTTTCTGCCTGTTGAAGCAGCGGGACCGCCAAAGGCTCCCGCTGGGAGAGCATCTTAACCTTCGACCCTGCCCTCTCCCTACACGAGGCGGTCCACGAGGCTGCCTTTCACCACAGCGTTTTATCTCTGGTCCTGTTGTTACCGGATGTCTGCAGGTTAGGGATTCTCCTTTGTTGTGGAGAGGTTTTGAACAGTCTCCCCCCCTCCTCCACCCCACCCCCAGTCGGTCTGTTTCCTCTGCTCCTCCAGGGCTGCTGTTTCTAACTGCCTTGCAACGACCACATTTGCTGGACTCCTTAATTACTTGAAACAACTTGAAGAATTCTTTTTGACCATAATGACGAAGTCGGGCGGTTTTTTTTTTTTTTTTTTTTTTTTTTTTTTTTTAACTGTTGTTAAGAGAAACACGAAACCTTAAAAAGTAGCTGGGTCAGCTTTTCTCTCTCCACTTGTAATAAATGCAGATGGGTATGATAGGGGGAGAAAATACCCCAGAAACCTTAGTCTTATTTTTTTTTAATTTGTTTATTTTTTGTGTACATGTTGAGCGAGGCATGTGGAGAGGTCAGAAGTCGGTTTTCTCCTTCCACCCAGTGCGTACCTGAGAATGAATTCAGGTCCTTAGGCTTGGCAATAGGTACCTCTACCCACTGAGGCCTCTCGCCCCCTCCAACTTCAGACGGTAAAGTTCTTAGAACTTCTTACAAGTTCTGAGTGTGCACTTTTCTGTTATATAATTAGTAGGATTTTTTCCCCCTCCAGTTTGTTGGGGTCTCTTATTTACAGTAGGTTATTTCAGAGTTGAGCTACAAGTTCATTATGATGTCTTAGATAACAAGAGCTGGCATCGCAACCCAAACAGTGTCAAAAGCACCATGTAAAAATAGTTGTTAGTAATTGCCCGCACACTGCAATCCATTCACACGGTGGCCCTTTGATGGTTCTGCGAAAACTTCCCAATAATGGAACTGTTGTTCAGCATCATGAAAACGTGTTTCAAATGTAGATCCTCAGATCCCAGCCAGTCCTACCGAATCTTAAAACACACGGGAGCAGAGCCAATAATCTGTGTTTCCACCTCCGTCTTTTACACTCGGTGTATATGAGGGTGTTTGTGCCCGTGAAGACCGGAGGCTGACGTTCAGTGTCTCCCTCAGTTCTCACCGTCTTATTTTCTCGAGGCGTGGTCTCTCACTGAACCTAGAGCTTGCAGATTTGGCAGCGAGCAAACACCAGACTGAGGACCAGTCCTCCTGCCTCCACCTCCCCGGAGCTGCGGCTGCACTCTATCAGTAGAGCCATCTCCTCATCCAGCAGCTCTGAGTACACGCTGGATGATGCACACATTAGTGTTTGAATCAGAAGAGCGGTTTGTACAGGGCTCACAGGTAAGAGCTGGATGAGGCAGCCTGGGACTGGAGAGGACCTGAGCTGCTGTCAGGCAACACTCTCGCCTGCAATTCATCACCACACTGAGGTTTTTCTAAAGAGGCACCATGGATTCTGGCATGTGCCTCATTCTTCAAGGTGTTGGGAACATTGGGGCAGCTTCCTCTTGTCTCGATCTGAACAAATTGGTTCTGACTTGCAGGAGATCATGAATTGAATCCCAATGGATGCTATAGAGAAGGTATATTGCAGAGGCAGCAGGATCCTGGAAGCCATTTTTCTTTTGAACATATCTTTTAGATGATCATGGAAATGATGCCCAATGCCAGAGGAATGAAGAACTAATTCACCAACTCTGGAAAGAGTGAAAAAAAAAAATGCCACCAGGCATCTCAGACTCAAATACATAAACAGTTGACATTTTCTGAGGCATTTTTTCTTTCTTTTGCTACCTCCACGGCAAGGGTAACTCAAGGTCTTAAAGTGAAAAGGAAGCGGGAGGGCAGACCCCCACTGGCTCCTTTATTGCTTTTCAAATTCTGCCTGGGTGAAATTTTTGTGGTTGAGAAGGAATTTCATTTAGGGAGGGAAGAGAGAGCCTGTGGCTTAATCTTTTTACGTGGCCGGAATCCAGAGGAGATCGGAGGCTGCGTGATCTCATTTCTCCTGCATGATGAAGGTCAGATTTGTGGTTGTAGATAGCAGAAAGCCTGAGGGTGGATGGGACCCAGCCGGCCACCTGCTGACCACACAGAGGCCAGGCTGGCCTCCTCAGGGCTCCACTGTAAATGAAGTTCTGCCACGTCAGTGTGGGGAACGAAGCCTTCTTCCACATCTTGTTTTCATTTTCAGCAGATTTTCCATGGGCTTGCCTGGTTAGCAGGCAGACCCTACAATTTTAGAACTAGCCATTTGTGTGCAATCTGTCCTGTGGTGACTTCCTTCTATATAAACATGAAACCTGGAAGTAAGAGCTGGGCTTTGCAGTCATGAGTGTGATCTGAAAGTGGACATCAACCTGCAAGTAGCCACCGATTGTAGAGCCCAAGAGAAATAAAATTCTCCTTCTAATTTGATTTATTGATGATTTATACCTGGCTGGCTTCCAAAAAGAATTTGATGTGACTATAGTGCACAATACAAATGCAATAAAGTCATTAAAATAGTTGTATAAGAAGGTCATGGGGAGAAATAATAAGCACTGTTTGCTAAAAGTTGAGACCACTTTTACTGAAGGACTAAGTGCTACATTTAGCTCTAAGCCTCCTCGCAGCCATATTAAAAAGGGAACATGGTGAGCTGCCTAATCTTCAGTGAAAAGAGAAGAGGGTTACTAAGAGATTTTTTTTTTAAAAAAAGAACATGCCAAACTCTAAAATAAAAAGGTTTTCTTGGGAATAGATTTCAGACTTCAGAAGATTGTATCTCCATTTGCTTCAGAAAACTCTTTGAGCCTGTATGTGGAAAAAGAGGTTGAATGTAACTGGGGATCAGCAGTATGAAAAGAGTAGGTCGGAGTGGTGGCTTCCTGAGTGTAGTGCTTGGCGTGCAGGTATGAGCACCTGAGTTTGGATCTCCAGAACTCAGCTACAGCTGGAAGCAGTAACATCTGTAATCCCAGCCCTCCCATGCTGAGGTGGGAGGCTGAGAAAGAAGACGTCCCCAGAACCATAAGGGTCAACTAGCCTGGCATATACACCTGTCTCAGACGGAGTAGAAGGCAAGGACAGACTCCTGCAATTGTCCTTCAGCCTTCACATGTGCGATGTGGCTCACACGTGGGGGTGCATTCTCACACACAAAAACGTGTATATACATATAAATACTAAAGAGGGGAAAGAAAATGAATGTGGCTTGTGGAATTCAGCAAATTGGGTTCTGGTACCAAGTCATTTCCATCTTATTTTCTTCATCTATAAAAATGAGCAAATTGATCCAAAGTTTCCTGAGATCTCTCCCAGCTCTGGCACGATGATCCTGTGTTGAGCACGTCAAGTTCATCAGCAAGATTGCAACCATGGCTTTCACATGCTGGCACTTGCAAGATCAGCTCCTCATTCCCTGGCACTTTCTCACTATCTGATTGCTCAGACTCAGACCTCTCTTGAACTCTATTCTTTCTCTTATGGGCTAGCCTGTTTTCTCTTAAAATAGGGCTTCTTTTAGAAACAAAAAATGCTACATGTTTATGTATTGTGTGTGTATGAGTGTGAGCTTGGCACACAGGTCACAAGCAGAGGTCAGAGGACAACTTGCAGGAGTTGGTTCTTTCCTTTCACCATGTTGGTTCTGAGATTGAACTCAGGCTGTCAGGCTTAGCAGCAAGGTCTTTGCCCACTGAATCGTCTAGCCAACCCCTAAGCCATGGTTTCTGAGAAAGACTTCAGCCTACTCTTGATCCCGTCGTATGTCTCTGTCAGTATACTCTACAGTTGTCCGGCAAATGTTTCTGGCATACAGGCCGCCAGGCATTTGCTGTGTGGTAGAGGATGGAGTCTCCTGGGATTTGTAGGAGGGGAAGACAATAGAGAAGCTGGCTGCCCTTGGCTGACTCCCCAGACACTTCAGTGAGAGGAAACACATCCCGGCTCATCACCAGTTTCTTTCACTTCCTTTGATCTCAGAGGTGAGTCTAGTCAGAGGGTTCATGCCTGAACAAAGGCCTCAATAAACAGGCATGATGTCATGTAGCTGAATCTATCTGTGGCCCTCTCAGAAATAGATGGTGGCCTTAGAGGGCCGTCAAGGTTTCAAGGTCTTGAGTAACTGTGAGTCTTGATCCTCTTCACACCTCAGTTTTTAATCACATATGTGTGAGTGTGCATTGTGTGTATGGGTGAACATTCATGTACATGTGCTCTAGTACACATGTGATAAGCGCACAATTTTCCAGACCCAGTTCCTTCCTCCCGCCATGTAGGTCCCAAAAATTGAACTCAATTTGTCAGACTTGGCGTCCAGTGCCTTTAATCCGCTGAGACATCTTGTCAACCCCGGAGCTCAGTTGTGTTGTCTGTCACACACCCATACCTACTCAAATTAGTCCTTTTAGCTTTGCCATAAAATATGCTTC